ACTGGGTGTCCTATAGTTCTAACTTGGAGGAGGCTGTCAAATGCTGCCCCAAAGTTATCCACAATACATGGCAATTAGAAATATTAAATACTTCTATTACTGATGCTATGACTAGAGCATATTTGGCCAGTAATGAAGCCAAAAAAACTACAACCAACAGGAAAGTGTCCTGGTGGAATGATAGTCTAACAAAGCAAAGAGCACTCATGAGGAGATTGTTCAATGCTTCTAAAAAATCTGGCAATTGGGATACATACAGGAAATCTCTTACTGAGTATCACAAATCTGTCAGGAAAGCCAAAAGACAAGCCTGGAAAAGGTTTTGTCTGGAGGTGGACAACATGCCGGCGGTAAGTAAGGTAAACAAAATACTGTCAAAACAAACCAATTCAGGTATAATGGGAACACTCAAATATGACGATAAGCACACCACGAATGAGATAGAAACATTGAGTGTGGTAGCAAAAGCTCATTTCCCAAATTGTTTTACGACAGTAAATGAACTTCTTGACCCCAATACACAGGATCGTGGTACTGGCGCACGTATGTGGGGTCAGGCAAGAAGAGTGATAACAAACAGTAGACTTGAATGGGCAGTGAATTCGTTCTCTCCTTTCAAATCTGCTGGAATGGATGAGATCTTTCCAGCACTGCTGCAGAAGGGTCTCCCAGAAATAAGGCCATACCTTCTGGAACTTCTAAGAGGTAGCCTAGCACTGGGATATCTACCATGTAAGTGGAGGATATCCAAAGTGCGATACATTCCTAAACCAGGAAAGGAATCTTATGAAGACCCCAAGGCATTTAGGCCAATATGTCTGTCATCTTTCTTAATGAAGACATTGGAAAAGATATTGGACAGACATATTAGGGAACACATATTGGCTACTAGTCCAATACATTCAAAGCAATATGCCTACCAACCAGGAAAATCCTGTGAGGTGGCGCTTCACAACTTGGTAACAAGAATTGAGAAATCCTTAGAACAGAGTGAAATCATGATAGGCGTCTTCGTTGGTATCGAGGGTGCCTTTGATAGAACTCCCTATAACATCATAAATGATGCGCTAAGGAAAAAAGATATAGACGCTATGACCTCCAGATGGATTGGGAGAATGCTGGAGGACAGAGTTCTAAAATCAGAAATAGGGCACAAGGAACTGTGGATTAAACCCTGTGGGGGATGTCCTCAGGGAGGTGTGCTCTCTCCACTACTGTGGTGTTTTGTGGCTGACTCATTATTGGAAGCCTTAAACACTGCAGGCATTTATGCTCAGGGATATGCTGACGATATTGCCATCCTCATAGGAGGGAGGCATCAGAGTGTCCTCTCTGATATCCTCAGTACAGTGTTCAATATTCTTAGGAATTGGTGCAGGATTAAAGGACTAAGCATCAACCCTAGGAAAATCAATGTGTGTATCTTCACCAAGAAGAAGAAGGTGGCTATTAAAATGCTGGAAATCAATGGTATCCAAGTGACACTGAGTAAGGAAGTAAAACACCTTGGAGTCACTTTGGACCATAAACTGACATGGACTAAACACGTTCAAAACGTGACAAGTAAAGCCCTCAAATGCCTATGGGCCTGTAAAAGAGCGATAGGAAAGAATTGGGGGCTAAAACCAAAAATGGTATACTGGCTGTACACAACAACAGTCAGACCTATCATACTTTACTCAGCTTTGCTATGGTGGCACAAAGCAAAGACTGTAGCCAATGTATCCTGGCTACATGAGCTATGCACTCTGACACTCTAATCCGAGAATATCAGGACCGGAAATATAAGGTTGAGATAGATAACAGCAGAATTGGAAAGATCCAAAGGCTTGCTTGTATAATGATAACAGGCGCAATGAGCACGACACCGACGGCTGCTATGGAGGTGATGCTTGGCATGCCCCCGCTGTAGCTGGAGGTGGAGGCTCGGGCAACAATTACACTGTACAGGATAAGCAAGTCAACTTACTGTTCAACAGTCCCCTGTCAGGGAGGACACACAACACTGCTGAACAGGATTGGGAGTGAAAGAGTGCTAGCTATGCACTCTGACACTCTAATCCGAGAACATCAGGACCGGAAATATAAGGTTGAGATAGATAACAGCAGAATTCATAAACCAAATAGTGGAATAAATTGCTACACAGATGGCTCTCTAACAGCCTTCGGCTCTGGAGCAGGCATCTATCGCAAAGATATAAAAGAAAAAATTTCTATACCACTTGGCAGGTATGCTTCAGTGTTTCAATCCGAGATACTGGCAATCTGCCACTGTGTACAAAACCTACTGCAAACCAATGTGACTGAGAAAAAGATCACCATCTTTACTGACAGTCAGGCAGCAATAGGTGCTCTTGACAATTATTATGCTTATTCAAAGGTCGTTAAGGAATGCAATAGAGCACTTAACGAGCTAACTGAGCACAGCAGAGTTGCAGTGGAGTGGGTGCCAGGCCATTCTGGCATACCGGGCAACGAGATGGCTGATGAGCAAGCCAGGTTGGGCTCAGATACTATTCCTATAACTCCCGAGCCTGTCTGTGGAATCAGCCTTAGTACTGCCAAGGGCAGGATCAGGGAGATCTATGGGAACAAATTTAGGAATTACTGGACCGACAAGAAACAGAGACACTCGAAGCTGTTCCTTAAAGGCCCATGTAAAAAAAGAAGTGAACAGCTACTGAACATGGACAGAGCAGCTCTTAAAAAACTCACAGCGATCTACACAGGTCACTGTAAGTTAAATAATCATATGTTCAATCTGCGAGTAATGACGAATCCGCTATGCAGATGTGACAAGTTTATAAGGCTGAGACTGGCGTTATTTGGGGAGGAACAGATGGATCTCCCCAGTAGATTTGAGTCGGTTAACCCAACCAGCCTACTTAGATACGCGGAAGCGACAGGACTAACGTTTTGAATAAGACGACCTAGCGAATATTGGCGCACAATGGACCCAAAGGGGTCGACGTGCTTAAAGCCAACATTAAAAAAAAAAAAAAACGTTCAATTCATCAAAGTTTAAAAAGTATTATTAATAAAATTTGACAAATAACTATTATTTTAGAAATAATTATTCCTTTAATTCATTTATTAAATAAATGAAGTCAACAATGCCCAGATCGCTGAAGCGAAAAAGAAGTGATAGTTCGGAGTGATCAGATCTGTAATTTCACAGTACTTACAGATGGTAAATAGTATTGTTATAATTTTCTTTTTTAAAAAGCACTGTTTTAACTCCATTTTGCTTACATTTTATTCGTTACCCGTGTTTAATTCAAATTTAACAAGTTGATAGATATAGGTTATATAACGATATAAATATGAAGATGGTCCAGTCGTCTATAACAATCATACATTATAACAATGAAATTTGCCAGGTCTCTTAAGGTCGTTAGTCCACTGTGTATTAATTCCAATTTAAAAAGAATATTTTCGAATTAAAAAAATTCCCTGACTTTTCTCGGTTTTGAAAACTCCCTGACTTTTCCAGGTTTTCCCGGTCGGTTGCCACCCTGGAACAGCTGTTTAATTTGTAAAGTGGAAGTTGGCCTGCTGTTAGGTGGACAGTGTGTACCCCACCCCCACTAGTTGTTATAAAAATTCGTATACAATTTTTTTTTAAATAAGAAAAATGAATATCAGTAAAGTTTCAATATTGTAACCATCATTTAACTATTTGTCACATATAATGTAATTTTTTTCTAAACTGGTTGGGTATTTAGAGTAATATTAGATACACAGAATCAAATATGCTGCATTCTGAAAAGGAATAATTTATATATTGTAGACATTATACACTATAAGCACCCTCGGATCCCATTACAAGTTTTTTTATAGAGAAATGAAGTTGAATTTCTTTTTGCATCTCAAAACATGATTTTTGATAGCAATAAAAAAAAAAAAAAAAAAAATTCACCTAGATTAGAACCTTAAATTTTTGTTTTGTAAATCACAAAAATTTTAATAACTTCAAGACTACTCCATCAATTCACACAAAAGTTGTCAGAGATTTAGGGCCCTATAGACTACATGAAATGGCACAATTCCAACTTTTGTTAACAAATTAGAGCCAAAGATAGAAAATAAAAAAAAACTTAGGCGTGTGCTTTAGACCACAAGATAGGAGTGAAAACATCAACAAGGCGAGATTAATAATATGAAATATAAATTATAAATAATATCTCATTACAAAGAGGATGAAATAATGAACATTTCACTTACTAACAATATGCAGTTCCCATTTTTAGTTTTAGAGATATTTTAATCCATATGCAAAAACACTTCAATCAGTCTACTCCAGCCGACTTTACCTGAGCTTTACACATCGAAAATCTGACGACTCAATCTAATTCACTCTCCACAAAAAAAGTGCAAAACGTGCCTAAAGAAGTTTTCGCTTCAAAAACATTATAAAAGTGTTCGGACAGTTTACCCAAGTGTCTGGCCCACTTGACGAACTGGTTTCCCACACCAGTACCAGTACCTACCTGTCATGCAGCATTCCATATCTAAGGGGGACTTAGTCCCAGAATACAATTTATTTTTATTCTTCTACATACTTAGTCAATCATTAAAATTTCCATACTATATTTTATCCACTTATTTTCTTGTTATGCTGTTTTCTTTATAGTTTTTGATCTTATCTTTGATGGCCTGATGAAGGCCTTAAACTTAGTTTGAAACAGCACACAATAAAATAAGGTTTTTAATTTTTGTGCTATTTCCTCTAAGACCCCACCTTCCATCCCCTCGTCCCTCAAATAATTTCTTTAATTTTTTCGATGATCAACAATACTTTCACTTTTTAAAAAAAAACTATTTAGTTTCTTAAACTAAATTTGAACTATATAAATATAAGATTCCAACCACAAAGCCTGGAGTTTTATGATAGAGCCTCAAGGCCTTGTGTTTGGGACCTTCTATATATAATCGGATTACTTTATGTTTCTTTTTTGAACATTTTGCTCTTTTATACAAATAATTTGAAATTAACTTACTTGTTGGTTAAGCAATCTGTACTTGAAATGCTACAAACAGTGGTGCCATCTTCCAACTAAAAAAAAAAATATATATACTATTTTTTTAATACAAAAATTGTGATTGAAATAATAAACAAATAAATAAGTTGTAACAAATTAATTTTTAACTTACAAGATAATGTGCTTAAATCCAAACCATCACAATTCTAAAGCACATTATTTCAGACAGGGGGGGAGGGAGCGGGATTTATGATAGACTTACAATAATAATTTATTCATCCTACCACTTTCCAACAGTAAGCTTATATTACCCAATCTAACCCAAAATCATCATAATAAGTTTATGACTATATTCCTCTTGTTTGCCTATAGATTTCTGAAAGCAAAATTATTATGCCTGTCTGTATTGTGTTTAAGGTAAATAATAAATAATAGTAAAACATTGTCGATAGCAAAGGGTTTCACCAATTTATGGTAGGAATTACAACAAGGAAAAAGTGTTGATCAGCTTTAGCTATTGAACTATAGACGTTTCGCAAAATATTTAATCAATAAAAAGCCATGTCAAAGAAATTTAAGGTAGTGTTTAAGAGTACACTAACTACTGAAGAAATCTGCCACTTTAAATTAAAATGTGAAGATAAAGTAAAAGGAAAAAAAAATTCTCACACAATCTTCTTACTTTAAAAAAATATATATATTTTTTTTATTGATTTTGATTATCCTATTATGAATGATTTTTAAGCGGGTAAAAAATAAATAAGTAAAACTTGGTAAATGCAATACATTAGAAAAAAACAGTAATAGAACAAATTCAAGTTAACAAACAGTAGAACACTTCTATTTTTGAAGAATCATTGGTATTGTAAGTAGTTGTTTATTTATATGAGCATGCATGAGAAAAATTAGAAAAAAAAAAAATCAAAAACAGACTTGATATATATAAATATCTTGAGACATATTCAATTAGATTATAGTTTGTACAACTTTTTTCTTGTAAATTAGGAGTAGAATTAGCTCTAAAATATTGCTACACAAAACTAAATCACAAACAATGTTATTATATATTTAAACAGAAATACAGCCAATAATATATGGAACAAAAAAAAAAAAAAAAAAACTATTAAGCAGGACCGGGTTGGAATTAGAATAAAAACTGATATAATATGAAAAACAAAAGCTAATAAAGATAAAAAGAAGTTTATATCAACAATTATTCGATCCACCATGCATGTATTACTATTCAATAATTAAAATAACTGATGGTCACCTGTATTAATAATCAAACATAAAAGGAGATTAGTTTCAAAACCGGCTCAGTTTTCAAATTTTTCACAGAACACATCAACAACAAGACTAGGCTCTAATTCAGTATAGTAAATCCCATAAGTTTTAACCAATTTAGTGCATTGAGAACTTGTAAAAAATTAATTTTAAAATGCTTTCTGAAAATAATTGGATTGAGTTGGTTTTAAAAGAAATCACCTCATATCGTACACTCCATTTTTTTTTTATATATATGACATGACAGCAATTTGCGGGGAAACTATAGATAGGCAACAGTTTAAGACAATTCTTTACTAGAAAGTTCTAAGGCCAATTTCTATGGAGATGCTATATAATTATTGACATTGCATAGTGAAGCAAGGTAAGAAAAAAATGGGTTTGAAGTTTATCATGAAAATATAAATATCTAATTTTAGCCAAATGTGCACTGAATGGAGAAAATGTTCTATATTTCAATGTTTATTTTTTTTTTAAATTAGACACACTAATTCATTTATTTTATTTTTTGATAGTTAATAAATATTTGTAACTAATAAAACTAAATAGTCATTATAACAACAAATATAACTAACAAGTATGTATTAAACCAAAAATCAAATTTAAATATTGTAGAATGAAATGTGAATAAATACAGATAAACCACAAACTTATCATGGAATTCATCTTTAATATTGACTAAAAATTAAATTACGGAGGGTAAAGGTCAGGACACACTAAAATGAGTGTGCATATTAAATGGAGGATAGCACCATCAAAAGTATTAAGACAAGACCAGAATGAGCAAAAGTATTCAGTTTATTTTAATAAAAATATCATCTCAGGTGCAGGACCATGGCAGAGGTTGTAGACCGGGGGAGGAGGGAAGGGAGGTACAAATTTTACCAAACCCCCTTCTAGACATACCTTTGATATATCCTGTTACAGAAGTTAGAAATAATAATGGATTAAAAAGTGGAATCCTATTACTTTTTAGTTTTAGAATAGTTTTATTTTCAAGAAAATTATATTCTTTATGTTTTTGTCTCGGTTTTATGACACCTCTTTGACCTATGCACTAAACCTGTCGCCCCATTCACGTGACAGCCCTAATCTTCATTTGCTGATATAAAAATTGTTAATAAGATTAATTGAAAGACTTGAAATAAATATATATAATTTCAAATTTAAATTATGAAAAGGGTTTATTGAATTTATATGAACATCAATCAAAAGCCTGAAATTAAACCTAAATCATTAATATATTTTTAGTAATTATTATTATGTATTATAAATTAAATATAAATTTTAAACAAATTCAAGGGAAAAAAAACATCCGTTTTTTGGATTTCGTGACTCGCCATTGGGAAGAAACACTTCTTATGAGGTCTCACAGTCAAAGGGTTAAATAAGAGAACCGTTGAAAACTAACATCTGACCACACTGTAGGATTTGTGAGAGCCAGTGATACTTTCCATGAAATTTAAACAGAAACTGAAAATACCAAGTAAATGCATTAATAGTGCAAACAACTTTTGCCATATATGTGGTGCAGTGAGAATCTAAAATTAAAAATCACCTTTATCTCAAGCAAAAGAAACAGACTACTTTCATTAAATAGAACACAAAGTAGGTGACCAAGATAAGTCACGAGCACCTCACTTTTGCTATAAAACATGATTATTGAATCTTCACAGGTAGATAGCTGGAATAAAACTTTCAATGAATTTTGCTGTAGCAATGACATGGTGTGAATCAACTAATATTATTAACTGTTACTCCTTCATAACACCATCATTACAACATGAAATATGGAATATCATAGAAAAAAAGTGGACCGCAGAATATTGTAATATTCCATCAGTCGTTTGACTACCCATCACACATGGTGAAGGGCTGTCGGTACTTGAATCTCTAAAAAGACTATTCACTTCTGCTTGAACAAGATAAAGCAACGGCAACAAGTTAGCAGATTATTGCTCGACATTAGTGAAGGAAATTTAGGACCAAATGCACAAACAACAATTTTACTGACAATACGAACATTTCAACTATTGATTTTCTTTTATACAACACTTTTTGGGCTAGCAATTTTAAATGGAAAGTATGTCAGGTCATCGGCTATCAATTGGTAATGCAAATGTAAAGAAAAGTTAACTCGTCGTCAGTTAACAACCTTTGGGTTTGATAAAATAGGAGCTAAGAAAAGTATATGTTGATTAAGTTTTTCTTTTATCGAGTAATGATTTGCAGCACTTTTAATATTGTAACAAGTGATTAAAATAGAAAACTATATAATATAGTTCACTGTTTTGAAGTCTTGGAAGAGACTAGGCAGAACAGGTTAAATTTTACTTTAACACAGACTATGTATCAACCTTACCATGGCTATAATGCAGACTAGTGGGTTTATGTCCTGACCTTAAGAGTTAGGAACTACAACACGACGCAATATAAGTAAAAATTTTTAACTTACAAATATCCACATCTTCATTGATTCTACTAATAAAATTTAAAAAAATTGAAGTATTAAATCAAATACCTTTTTAACTTCATTAATGGTCAGTACAGATAAAGGTTTAAGATAATGGTAATCTGCCGATGTTCCTTCAATTAATTTTATTTTAAAAGCCTGTAATAACAACTTTTCATTTATTAACTGATTATAGGATGAATACTTAAAGGCGAACCAGAGAAGAAAAATGGTTTATTACCAAAGGTGGAACATTCTTGTATTTGTTTGGTAAAGGATGTAATTCATGTTTTTCAACCAATCTTTGGTTACCAAAATCAATATATTTTATTTTTAATGGATTTTCAGAAATTACTTTTCCACGACACCTGAAATATTAAAAAGTTCTGAAAATGTATTTCTTTTTGTTTAAGCTTTCCAGACTTTAAAACAGCAGAACCTCGTTAATCCTAAAAGTTAGATTCTTTTTGATCTGTTATGTCAAACAAACATTGAATAGCTTATTATTATAAAATATAGGCTATTCACAAACACCTGAGTTAAAAGAGACATTGGACCTCATAAATATTTTTGTGAAATTTCTAATAACAGATGACATGAATTCATTATTTAATTTTAATGAAAGTAGAGTGATTGGACATTATGTATTCTATCCATAATTTATCTTTTATACATTTATTTGTTTGATAGTTCACCATGATTGCAACTCCACTCCTAACTAGTTTACCAATCAAATTATCAAAAGTCAACCATTTCTCTACCCACATTTAATAGATATTTTGAAGTTTTCCACTGTGCATGCTATTGCCTGTATAAAAAAATTTATGTAGATCGAAGTTCTACATTTGTTCTATTTAAGAATTAACTGAGCAAGCATTCACCTGTGAACTACAGTTATCAAAGTATTTTTAATATACTAAAAGAAGTTAAAAAATTTAGTGATTTCCAGGCCATAGAAACTTTATTAGAAAAGTTGGTTTTCTCATGCAGACTTCATTATGTATATTTCAGAACAAAATATCCTCTGGACTACTACGACCTTCGTTGTAAACTAAATGACTAATATTAGTCATTGTTTTCCTCCCACAGTTCCGTAATTAACATAACTTCTAAATTTTAGTTCTCTTTTTTAAAAAAACACAAAATCAGCAAAAAGAAAGGATCTTGGCTTTAATGTTAAAATTTAATTATGTGCCAGCAATATTTAAGTTTTTAAGTCAGTTCAAATTGATCTTATCCGTTGTACTTTAATATCACTCATTTTAATAAATAAATAATTAACTTAATTGTAATAACCCAACATAAAACCTATTATTTAAGATTTATAATTAAGATAAAAAAATTAAGATAAGAAACTTAAGATTAAAATAATTGATCACATTAACATATTCATCATTACACATCGATCATAATTGGATATATTTTAATTTTATGAGGTGCTATTTCATGCGCAGTGCATTCTTACCCTGTTTGCAATCCCATATTTAATAATTATTGTGATTATAAAAGATACTGCCAATAAGAGTAAAGGGTCTCCTCTATGCACATAACATTACTGTTTTCAATTCTTTATTTGAGTACTGTCAGAAATGCATAGTTGCTAATTTCAAAGTCAAAAGCATGTCAGTTACAGCTCCACAACTGGAGGAGCCAACACAGTATTCTGTAATTTGGGACTTAATTTCCTTTTAGATTGGAATTTTTTATGGATTGTTATCCGCTTATAATTTTGTATGAACTAAATTTCATAAATGTAGTTTTATTAGATTAACGAGGCAATGCCAGCGGAAAAAAAAATATATAAAAGATACTTGTAATACAAATAATAGCTTACCATGATTTGTTAAAGAAGTGTACATAAGTTTCTCCAAGCAAAGGTTCGATAACATCAAGAGTTTTACATTCACCAAGATTAAGGGCCATATCGACCAGTTTAAAAAGTTTTTCATTTTTATGAACCCAATAGACATCTTTACTCTCTGTGACCGAAATGGTCACCTTTAAAAATTGAAATAAAAATAACTAATAATTGTAGTATAATCAACATCTTCCTAACCTAGTTGTTTTTAATATTTAAATTAAACAAATAAAACTAATATTAATTGAATAAACTACAATTAGTATGGATGAAATATGTTATCTATGAATAAACCTATAATTAACCGAACTAGGCTTCCTCCTTAGCTTCACTAAAATTAATAGAATGAATTTTAGAAATTCCTTCTACAAACAAAAATTCAATTTTAAAATTAAATAAATTGCTGAAAAATATTTTATACAACATTAGTAGTTTTTAACACTAAATTGTTTTGGAAAAAAGTTATTAAATATTGAAAAAACAATAATAGGATATCAATTGGTCAGATGACTAATGCAGAACTTAAAATTTTAAGCCTTGGAAGCTATAACAGGGTGTCTCAGTTCTTTTGATGTACTGGCAGACTTCGAACGGAAAAGGAGTTAAAACCAACTTGGTGTTTTTTTTTTGTGTGGTCATGGTTTTTATAGAATAAGAAGGAATTTCTCAAAAACTGTTAAAGATAATTAAAATCCAAGTACATTATCTTAAAATAGAAAATTTTTTTTTGTTGTAAAAACAGTGATTAAATTTCTAAAGTCAATGATAAAAGGGACTTTTAGGAGGTCTAATATGACCACTTTACTGCTATAGTTACAGTACCTACACCTGAGAAGCATATCTCTGTGATCTCGATTCGTGAAATAATTTGGCATAATGGTAGGCTTTGCACTATTTCACCTCCTGAAAGTCCCTTTTATTATTGATCTCAGTAAATGTAATCACTCCTCTGAGGAAGAGAGGTTCATTTGAATCACGGTTCGTACTAATAAACAATAACTTACTAAACCTATTAATAAACAAAATGAAGGAAACCACAGAACTGCTTGACATCATGCCATACAGAACTTTATTCCCTGTATCAATAACAATCTTCTCATTCAAATATCTTCTTTTTAATCACTTGGCCCTCGTCCAATCATTGTTATTATAATATTTACACATCTGTAAATGTTATTTTGTCATGAAACAAGACCCAAGGCTAAGATGGCATAATAATGTGGCCCGCGATGAAAGATACTTTCAAGGACTCAGAACTGCAAAACAGCTGCACAAAACTGTGAAAACTGACACAGACTGTTCCAGGACAGAACTCCCTAGCAAGTTGTAAAGTAGAAAAATCAATGTTATAGATTTAAAAGGCTTTTTCTTTGTTTTGTTTATTCTGATGTGTTTTCTCCCTATTTTTATTCCTTATATAAATAATTTATGAGAAAATTCCATCTATGTTGTTATAAGATAGTATGACCACACTGCCTTGAAATGCACACACAAATTGTTTAAAAGTAACTTCGACCCAGAATATTTAATGTATCAAAATATACACACATATACAGATAATTTCTTTTTATTCATATTTTTTACTAAATCTTTTGTGCTAAATTTGAAACGAGCTCACTTCAGACAATGAAACCATCCATCTTAGCAAATTTCCTAAAATTTTATGTTTTCTAGACAAGATCAATCCTAATTTACAATAGAATTTACCAAATTAAAACTCCTGATTTTCCTTTTGTTTCTCTGAACTCAGAAAATAAATAACTAAAGGATTATTTTTACAAATGGAAGACGATCTGCTGCTAAGCTGATAGTACTGATATGTGTTTTAAACAATCACTAATTTAACTGTGGCAGAAGTTGAAAAAATAAAGTTGGGTTTTATTAAGGGTTAGACGAGATGTTATGAAAAGCATTGTAACAGGTAATGATAAAGGTTTTAGCTTATAACAGGAAAACTATCCATTGCATCAACTAAGACGTTCTTTAAAAAATTAAAGCTGATAAAATTTGCACTATGATTGATTATATACCTTTTTTCGCTACCTAGCTTAGTTTCCGAGATATCCGTCTTCAACTATTAATTTTGAAAAAAAAAAAAAAAATTTTGCCTCATGTTTATTGCTGTTTTTCGGGTTTTCGCTTATATCAGGAAAATTATCCAACGCATCGACAAAGAAGCTGTATACAAAATTGAAGCTGATAAAATTTTCAATATGATTGCTTAAATATCCTTTTCCCAATCTTGCTTATTTATCGAGATATTTGTGCTCAATTATCGCTAATTTGGAAACAAAATGTGTTTACCTCGTGTTTTTTTACTGTATTTGACTAGCTAACTCTTGATAGCTTTATTCTAAGATTACGTCGTGGGGAAAAAAGTTTTTAATAATTAAATTTTCTTTAAGAATATATTTTATCTTGGATCAATTATAACTTTATATGTCAATTCTGAGAATTTGCAGATAAAAATAATTTTTATAATAAACGTTATTTCAAGTATGTATATGTGTTTATGCATACATATACATAGAGATTTAGATATATAGAGAGGTAGAGCTATATAATAACGAATGTTACGAAAAAAATTTTTTATAATTTGCCTGATGCTTGATGGTGCTCACAGTGAGTGATGAAGTAATAAAAAGATGGAAGAGATACTTCAGTGAGCAGATGAATCCTGATGTATATCGGGATGAATATGATCAAGATGATGAGATATATGAGGAAATGCCTCTGGTGATATATCATCACTAGACCGAGAAATCATAAAGCCCCAGGATGACATCACAGAATAGTTGTGAAAATTGTTGGGTCACGAAATGAATAGTGAACTGAACAAGTTGATAGTTGTACTTTTTATTCTATGTTTAGAAATTTAAATATTTTGTACAGAATTAGAAAATATAAACAAATTACACAGCTTTTATATATTCTGTTGGCATAAGAGACTTCTACATCCATAACAATCATAAAAAAATTAAGGCTCAAAATGCTTTTCAAAGTCTGACCGGTCCGACATTTCGCCTACTCACATATTACGACTTTACATAAGCTTGAATTAAATTGAAAGTGCAACAAATTTTTTATTGAGCTCGGGTATGATCGTTAATATACGAAAAGTTGAAAAACCATTAGAGCACTTGGACTTGGAAGCGCATTTCGATTCTTAAGTTTTTGATTATTATGAATTTGGATGTCTCTCATGCTAATAGAATGCATAAAAACTAGATAATTTGTTTATATATTCGAGTATTGTTATAAAGTTAAATTAGCCGAATCAAAAGCATTGAAAAGATAAAAAGCGCTTAAGTTGAGAGCGGTAGATACTGCCAATGAAATACACCTTTAATTTCTTGTCCATTAACAACCGCTTAATCTTCATAAATATTAACGTGTCTAAATGAGGTACATAGGAAATTTAATGCTTTTGAAAGTTGATCATGATGGCTTTCTTTGAGAGATGCATAGATTATGAGTATTTGGTGAAAGACCGACGAAAAGAGATTTTTCTTGTGAAATAAGCAGTCAACATTATAATAAACATGGTCGGAAGCTCCAAGTCCATATCAGAGTTACTCGAAAATACTAACGAATATTTAAAATCAATCCTCTAAATGAATCTGAAACTAGTATTTCATGAGGATGGATACAAAGATACTGTTCCCAAAATAATATTGTTTTAAAAAATTTAGATGTGAAGCTGCCTGTTCTCTTTCAGTTACTCGACGAATGTTTAGCCACCGGTTCGTGAGAATTTCCATGACGCTGACATATTCAACACAGTAAAACACAATTTTTTAACAAGTTGACACCCGACCAGACTTAGTATTTCAGGTTGACTATTGTTCTAATGGGCGTTCGCCTAGAGACAGAATTACCGTTAACTTCATTACCTTATGTAAAAAATGTAAACTGCAATTTTAAATAAAAATAAATAATATAAATACAAATAATAGCAAAATATATAAAACACAATTTTTTAACAAGTTGACACCCGACCGGACTTAGTATTTCAGGTTGACTATTGTTCTAATGGGTGTTCGTCTAGAGACAGAATTATCGTTAACTTCATTACCTTACGTAAAAAATATGAAATGCAATTTTAAATAAAAATAAATAATATAGATACAAATAATAATAAAATATATAAAACACATTTTTTTCACAAGTTGGCAAACGACCTGGCACATAGTATTTTAAGGTTGACTATTGCTCTAATTGGTATTCGCTCAGAGCCAAAATTACCGTTAATTTCATTACTTTATGTAAAAAATAAACATGTCCATAGATAGTAAATAGTATTGTTATGTTTTTCTTTTTTAAAAAGTACTGTGTTAACTCCATTATGTTTATTACCCTTGTTTAATTTCATTTCAATATAACAGCCAGGGCCGTTATTGACAGTCACAGGTGAATAGATTTAGCGACTGTCGTCGTTATCCCTTAAGGTCGTTATAAACTACATCCATTGTATATTCATTCCAATTTGAAAAGAATATTTACGTACTAAAAAAAAATCCTTGACTTCTCCCTTACTTTTCCCTATTCATTACAGAATGATTAACGTCACTCAGAAACAGACTTCTGGGCGCAGAAAGAATCGAAGTATGCAAAGCTACCTTCATAAAATGGCCCAACCTTTTGAACTTCGTTAGAAGAACAAAAAGGTTTGAGACAGAGTTGGAGGTAGGTACAAGAGACAAACATTGGTAGAATCATCTTTGGGGTTGGCAAAAAGGACCAATAGGCCCACTTGCTGGACTAAGTTCTCCAACCAGTACCAGTACTTTTCCTAATATTGAAAATTCCTTGACTTTTCCCACCTTTACAGGTCGGTCACCATCCTGTTTTATTGAATTATTCTAGAGACTAAACTGGATTGGACAAGTCATGTGGGGCAAGAACTAGGTCACGCTGGTAGGATGACATAAAACAGCCAAGGATAAGCACAGTAAATGCTGCAGATAGGGTCGTTAGGGACAAAAAAAATAGAGTAGACCAAGGATCGTTTTATGAGTCTGTCGTGCCATTAAAGAAGAAGAATACCTGATAACAACAAAATATAACACTATAAGCTGCTACATACCTTTTCATAGTTTTCAGGATACTTCACACCCTCAACTTGTGCTATCCATCCACCATGCATATCCTTCAATTAAAAAAAAAAAAAAATTACATTTGCAGAATAAAAGCACCTATGACAGGGAAAATATATGTGATAATTTGACTGAAGCAAATTTGAAAATAAAATTAATAAAGCCATGTAAATAGAATAATAATAGCATTGATGAGGAAAAAAATATTGATCCAATCAAGTCTATGGCAGCAATTTTTGTACATAATTTGTGGGAGACTAATCTCTGTAAGTTGTTACATTCTGAATTTAGATTATTTGAAGTGAACTCTAAAATTTTTATCCTTTAAAACCACAATTTTACAGATTAGAAGAAGTTTAAAATACAATGACTTTAGAAATATTCTTCATTGCACCATATAAAAAATTGATTTTCGTTAAACATACAATAGTCTTAAAGAAGAAAAATCTATTAGAAATGATTGTTCATTAAATATAATATTATAACAACACTTACTTGTGAAACAGGTTTGAGAGCTAATGTCATATCTATCTCTAATGTTGGATTGCTAGTGGAATCAGCTAACACAAATTTGTAAGCCTGTGAGAATAAGAATAAGATAAACAAGAAGAAGTACTAATGACATCTTTAATATTAATCTAAGCATCAAAATATGAAAATTAAAAAATCTGAAGAGGACATTTGACTTTGAATCTATAAAAGGAATTTTTAATTGATCTCAAACTTTTAAATAAAAGTTTGGTGAAGTAAAATAAGAAGTGATTTTAATGAAAGATAGGGTAAATACACCAGTGATGGACACAGCTAAGGAAATTATTGTCTTGTATGCCTTCTCCCGCCATCTTATTTTAGTAATGAACTTTTCTGTTTGATATTTAGAAACTATAGTATCTCCTTTGCATAATCCATACTTGAAAGTTGAAAAAAATGTTCAATTTTGCAAGTGTAATCTCCATTTTAAAATAATCATTTTTTGCACTTGTAATGGACACCCCCAAATCCTATTGTTCTAGTGATGGACATATTTCAGGAAACATCAACAACCTTTATTTAATGATGAAAAAAAACAACAATACAATTTTTATTAATTAATTTACAATTTCACTTACTTATAAACGAAATATATAATTAGAAGATATATTGCGATTGTGAAAACATGTAAATAGTCATAATGGACAAGTCTCGAAAAATTGTGTGTGAACTCAATAAAAAAAAAGACGTATTATTTATATACTCCACCCTCCCATACCACTATGGTAATACGAGTGTTTGCCATAGTGTATTATTAGGCATGGAATGCTTAATTGATAGTGTGTTATTAGGCATGAATGCTTAATTGATAGTGTGTTATTAGGCATGAATGCTTAATTGATAGTGTGTAATTAGGCATGAATGCTTAATTGATAGTGTGTTATTAGGCATGAATGCTTAATGCTCAAGTCCATCACTACTCCTAGTTAACATGATTTGCACACATCTAGCAGTTCTTCTGTTCTATCTTCTTGTTTCGGCCTAGCTTCCAGAATCTGGAGGTCTTCCTGGCACTTGTCCTCTTCTTCTGCGTGCACCAATACGGAAGTGAGTGGGCCCCACCGATGTCTTCCATCCATATACGAAATCCTTAAACCGCAGGAAATTTTCCTCGCTGACTAACTGAGAAAACTCATTTTCAGGGAGGACATAGATTCCCGCGGCTCTTGTCACAGTCGCTCTTAATGTTTCAAATGTGGTTCAGGTCATGACCACGTGCTCTACAGTTTCCGGAACACTACAGATTGAGCATAGAGGATCTATATGAATGCCCAGACCGTGAAGTTTAGATCGAAATCCTCCATGCCCAGTGAGGAACCTGGGAAATCCAGTATTCCGGAATATCCAAAAGAAAAGACGTATGACTGGTATCAAAAATTTAGTTTAGGAATGCATATGGCATGTACTTTTATCTTCAATTTTACATCTATTTCTATATGTGACATCCCCTGTTCAAGATTGGTTGGAGACATTTAAGAGGAAAAAAATTCCATCCGGTTTCTCATCATTTTTTGACAAGGTAAATACAAAAATATGATCATTTTATACAAAATGGATGGGGAGCCAGTAATGGACATGGGTGGGTCCAGTGAAGGATGGACACCCTCTGTTCTTGAATGGTTGAGATATTTAAGAGAAAAAACAAGAGTACAATTCTGATTTCTCATCATATTTTGACTTTGTAAACACAAAAATATGTTAATTTTATATAAAACTAGCTTTACCCGGCCACGTACTGCTGTGGCTTAGACTAGCAAAATGGAAAAGAAAGAAAATAGGAAGCATATTAATTGGATTAATACCAAAGGACATCTGTCATTTTTAAAAAGTTGGGAAACAAATTGGTTTGTAAAATGGCTTCAATTTAAACTAATCCTAATGATTTTTTTTTTCATGATTCAACTTGAACATTCGTAATCATCTGAGTGAATACGCCTTTAATCTTAATTATCAGAAACAGGCAGAGGTGAACTTATAAAACTGAAATTGACTTCATCTTCCCTTTCTGAAAATGACAGAAATCCGTCCTTTGAGATCAAACCACTCATATATTTTCATATTTAATTTTTTTTTTATATTTAATGTATTGTTTAATGTGTTGATCATTTTATGGCAAATAAAAATGTAAATGTTTGATTGCTTAAACTCTTAAATCTCAGAAAGTTCTTCACCCATTGCCTTGTGGTTTAATATTATAAAATATAAGGTGAAACTATACATATTTATTAAAAACGCACCATCTATAAAAGATATAAAACCAACACATGCGGTCCAAAATATTTTACGATACTGTTTCAATGTTAAAGATTTTCAAATATCAATCGTGGCAATGCATTGAAATTGCGCTATACCATTTATCATAGCATTCATTTCGTGTGCATTAGAGCTGCCTTCTACCTTCCTCAAAAGATTTAAAAATTTCAAAGGAACCGGTGAAGAACTTTGGGAGAATAGCGGCTTTAAACAAAAAAACATTTACATTTTTATTTTTTTTACATATATAAAATTATCGTATGACAGAAGTACTATGCCAGAAACCTTCGTGGGAGTGTACGGAACAATTTCTTAAAGTTTCATGGCGATCGGATGAATGATTAGTAATGCATAAAGAACAGACAGACAGACATACATTCATTTTTATATACATAGATGGGTGGGTCCAGTGAAGAACATTTCTGTTCATGACTAGTTAGAGATATTTAACAGAAAAAACAAGAGTACAATTCTGATTTCTCAGCATTTTTTTGACTTTGTAAACACAAAAATATGATAATTTTACATAAAATGTGTGGGAAGCAAGTAATGGACATCCCCTCTTCATGACTAGTCTAAGATATTTTAGAGAAAAACAAGTGTACCATCCGATTTATTGTCATTTTATGACTCAGTTAACACAAAAATATGATAATTTTACATAAAAAGAGCGGGGAATCAGTAATGGACATGGGTGGACCCAATGATGGACAACCCCTGATCATGACTAGTTGGAGACATTTTCGAGGAAAACAAATGAACCATCTGATTTCCCATCATTTTCAGAATCAGAATACACAGAAATAAGAAAATTTTATATAAAAAGTGTTGGGAGCCAAAAATGAACACGGGAGTCCATATCTGATTAAGACCCAATCTTTTACCTTGTGATAGACACTCCAAAAGCGGTTAAAATGGTCATTTTCAGGAAAATAAATGCAAGGAAAATCGAACTGCTGAGGATCTGAAATGGTGAAATGGATATTTTAATGGTAATGAGCCTAAAATTTAAAGAGCTATAAACATAAATGTAGAACAAATCCTTGTCAATATAGTTAGTAGGAAGTTATCAAACACAAGGCTCTCGAGATCACTTTAGAAACAACATTGATATTTTTTCTTAAACCAACAATTGGAGGTTTCCTTCTAATATTTGTCAAAAGAAAGCATTACCCTTCTATCTGGAAAAAGACTACTGTAAACCATCCAAGAAGCTTATTCTTTACATTTCAAGGACAAACTGTCCATCACTGGTGTGTGCGCTTACCCTAGTTGAAATAATAGGAACTTTGCCATTAACTATAAACCTTTGAAGAATATCAAAGTAAAACATGGTTGATGCTAATTTAAATACAAGAATGTCGTAATAAAGATTTTCCTCGATAATGGCCAGTGTTGCTGAATGGTTGGAGATATGAAGTAAATAAATAAGGTGTTGATACTAGATTGATATTTATATTAGATTAACCTTAATTGTAGCTGTATTTCATGAATCAAGGATGTAGACAAATCTAAGGAATGTTTTGGAAAAATTCTGATGATGAAAACAGTAACAACATATCACTTATTTCAAATACTTATTAACATTTGTGGAAACAATCCCTATCTTCAAAATCTTACTTATATAATCATGAACAACAACCTTAATAAAATTATTTTTATTTTTTTGTTTATAATAATTTAAAATAATAACAGTAAAGTATCTTATCCTATATTTCATTAAAGATATATATCTTTAAAGTCAATTAATTTAAAATTGTTTACATTTATCTATATTTTTTATAACATATTAGCCTGAGCTAATTATACTTTGTCCTATTACCAGAACAAATGAATGGACTTTAGCCCCATTCTTATCAACTAGCGCTATCCTATCTTATAATATTATTATTTGTTATCTACCTCTTTTCTTTTTAAATTATCTATTTTTATAATATCATTTAAAATAAAAATAAATATATTAATTATCATCAATTGTGTTCTACTTGTTATATCAGCACAATGTGTATTTAAATTTTAGCATCACCTTAGTAATTAATGGTTTTATATTACTATTATGGGTCTAAAACTAAAGAAACATATTGATTAAACAATAATTTAATCAAAAAAATCAATCAAATAATGGATAACTCAAAACCATTTTATGAGAAGGAGTTAGTTCGGGGAGTGCGGTCAAATAAATACTAAATTTTTAAAAAATAGTATCTTTAATTATTAGGCCGACGTTTCGACCCACCTTGCAGGTCTTCATCAGGGCATGGCTTGTGGCACTGCAGAAGGCAGTTGATAGACTGGCCAGTCTATGTGAATGTGAATAAAATGATACTTAACTACATGAATACATACATAATGAATGAAAAGTGACAAATTAAAAATAAAAACAGATTAAACCAGAAACTTAGTAAACAATAAAAAATATAAAAGTTAATAAATTAAAAGTAAATAAGAAAATAAAGAATAATGTTACTTTAATTCAAGCCAATAATTTACAAAATACTAATACAAAACCTTATAATGATAATAAAATAGTAATTTTGGAAAAATATAATAATTTGCATAAATTATGAAATAGAATGGAAAACTTGACCAAGATAAATACACTAAATAATATAATAAATCTCCACTTACTGGGTGAAATTTTTAATTAAGAATACCTACACAAAGATAAGGAAGTACTACAAATTATTACAGGTTTTGAATTATTTTTTGACAGCTTAAATACTTCTGATAATCACAAAAAATGCTAAAAAAAATTAAAGAAACAAAATATGTATGTTATTAATAACTATATATCTAATAAAAACATGAATAAAATATTTTTTCCAATAAAATTACAAATAAATAAGGACATAAAGGATTTTTAAAAAACTAATCATAATCATGATGAAAAACAATGAATAAATCATTAAAAAATCTGATAAAACTAAAAAATTAGCTATCTTAACTATAGTAGCAGATTAAGAGAAAAGAGAAAATTGACTAAATGACAAAAATAATTACAGGATTATCAGAAATGAAGCCTTCAAAGGCTTAGCAGACAAAATCAATAAATATGCCCATAAACTACAAAAAATAAGATTATATAAATTAATTTACAACAAAAACAAATTATCATCAAGGTTTTACCATACCTAGGATAAATGGCATACTGAAAATACTTAACCCAAACAATGACGTAAGACTTATAGTTAATAATATAATTGGTCTGATGGGAGCATTATCCAAATTCTCAAATCTGGCACTCAATGAACACATAACAATAATGATTATGATATAAAAATGTATTAGAAATTTAAGAATTAATCAATAACTTAAACATGAAAAATAAAGAAGATAAATAAAATAAACAGAACAAATAATCAGTCTGGATGCAAAGTCCTTATTTACAAACATACCGGTGGATGACTATATAAAAATATTACAAGACAATTGGGATAAAATTTAGGATAACACTGAAATGAAACATAAAAAGACGTATATAGATGGGGAAGTCAAACATTAATATAATTATTTCGAGCAAACTTTTGGTCTTTCCATAGTTTCATCAATGGCAGAGAATTTAAGCGGTATTTATTTAAATAGGTTAATAAAGACTCAATTAAAATAAATAAAAAATAAATTGTTGTTAGTAAAAAATATGGTGCAGTGCACACATCACAGATCTTTCACTTATACAACTTCTCTTCTTAGCAGACAAAAGGGAAGTAAGTGAAAATAAAAATTAAAGACGCTATATTTATTTATATTTCGTTGTGGGTGTTTTTGCTTGCTTAAGTACCCTAATATATATAAATTTTAATATTTATATCGCTGTAATCTATACAATTAAATATTATAAAACACCAACGATAGCATTTATTTATATTTATGTACATAATATTGTCGGAGTCCGAATATAATATATTAAGCTTATGTTACGTATGAAAGTCTGTTCTAATCTTTTGGGTGAGCTCGTATTACGTTTATTTCCGTAGAAAACTGAAATTTAATAATTTTCACGATCTCAATACTTTACTGCATATTTTATGTATAGGTAAGGGAAAGTAAAAATACATAGATGACTTCTAATTGTAAACAGAAATTGGCATTATGAATTGATAGAACAATGTAATAAATATCATACAATAATAGAATTTAGATTAGAAAAAAAAAAGAATAGATTTAAATTTTTAGAGATGGAATTTGTAGTGAGGAAGCAATATGGATAAAACCATTAATTGAACAAATAGAATATATATTATAATAAAATAGAAATATATTATAATGAACAGAATAAAAAGCAACAGCTGATAACCAATATATTTATTTTAATTTTAAATTATCATATAAAAATTGACTTTTAAAAAAGAAAAGAACAAATAATATTAGTAAATAGGATAGTGGTAACTAATAATAATGGATCTAAATTCTATTTACTTACTCTGGTAACAGGGCAAAGTGTGGTTAGTTTTAAAAAAGATAGAACAATGAAAAACAAATTAAACTAATTGAATTTAAAGAGATATAACTTTAATGAAATATATGATGAGGTATTTAACTTTAGTATTATCATAAACAAGAACTCTGTAAGTAATGTTATTAAGGATATTGTTCATGATTACAGAAATAAGATTCTGAAGATGGGGTTGTTCCCCAAAATGTTAATAAGTATTTTAAATAAATAAAACGTTGAAGCAGTTGATGAATGTTAATTATAAATGCCAACAGAACCTTGATATTATCGACATTACATCCTATAAAATTTGAATATTCATGTACCTTTTTTTAATATTTAAAAAATGCAACCTCAGTCTAATATACATTCTTTATCAGTTGAATTCTAATGAAGATCAAATTTAAACTTTAACAATTTCTTTTCAAACAAGTACCCAACAACTCAAGGTTGTTGGCCAACCTGTGGGAGCATCCAAATTGATTATAGTAAATACCGTGTACTCAACAATGTTAAGTAAAAATTGTACTTAATTAAATCTATAAAAACATTAACCATATAAATATCAATCTGATCAACATTATTAACAATTTTATTTTTTTATGAAGAAAAAAATAATCACCATTGGAGGTTCCCTAGCAAAATCTTCTGGGAGCTTTTTTAAATCCTTTTTCATTATGAGAGACTCATTACCGAAATCAACAAATAAAACTTTGACAGAATCAACTGAAATATTGATTATTTCGGCTCTGAACCTGAAATTAATTACAAAACATAAATCTAGATCGGATACATAAGCTTTGAATTTTTGTATTGACAAGTTCATAAAACAAAAAAACATACCAATCGCCTTCAAAAGGAGCTATACATTTTGCACCCATTTTAATTTCAGCACAAGATGTGTTCCCACTTTTGCAATATTCACCTAATTTAGACATAATGTTAGCTTGTTTCATGTAATCATCAACTTTGTAAGCATAAAATTCACCACCTTGCCCCAATGCACCAACTGTGACCTAACGAGAAAAATAAAAACAGTCAAATTGAAACACATTATCAGCACATCAGAATAATTTATCACCTGGAGGAACAGGAGCCTCTAAGCTACGGCCCACAAAAATATCTTTTATTGTAATAATTTACATGATAAAATTTTAAAAACTACTTAAAAAATATGAAATTTAGTGAATCACACAAACGTAAGGTTACTTCACGAGGTGTCTCCCTTAGAAAACTCAGTTTATAACTAAATTATTATTAATTGAACAAGATTTTTTTTTTTTAATCACACGCCATGACCTGCGAGACTTGGGTGGAGGAGGTCATAATATGGCCATAAAATGTTTGGCCAATCCTCACTAGAACATTGATATTTCTACTACATCTTAACATGGACCATGATATATTCTAATATGAGTTCTTTAATCTAATTATATTTTCTACAACTATATTTTATTTTTTTTTAATTGTACATTTACATTTATGTTGTTGTCATTTGTTGGCTCAATAAGAGATTTCAGATTTAAGACCTCCGTAAATCTCCTTTTGGATGACTATTTTATTCCACTTAGTAAACTATTAGGAAGTTTATTATTATTACCACTAAGTTGTTTAAAGTAGTTTTAGATATTATTATATTAAAAACTGTGTTAAAATTACAATTAAAAGTAAAAAAAAAAAGAATCATACAAGATTAATCAACTCAGGATTAACATTTTGACTTTTAGGTAAACATGCCAATTATTTAAATATTGTGAAAAATAGAGGAATGATAAGCTCCTAAATTTCATGTCATTGTTCTTAAAGTAAAGAGTCTATTAGTAGTTATTAGAAACAATTTAATATTTTCTACAAAATCCTTATTTTTAAACCTCTTGCAGAACCTCGAGATATTAATATAGAGCAGCATGAACTTTTAATGTTTTTTTTTTTTTATTCTAAAGAGAAATTTTGAATGTTATTAGAATAATGCCTGCTAAAAAGTGTTTTGTGTTCCACCTTAATGGACAGTACATCCGAAATGTTAATGATTTATGAATGAATAAAGAGATGCTGAAGTTTAAAATTTTTTCTCAGTTAAGGGTACTCACTTTATAGAGGGTGGGTGTTTGAGAAGGATTGATTCACAAATGACATAACAGAATAAATGATTATCCATAAGTAACTTATCGTTAGCAAACATTTTATTTTATTCAATACTCACTTTGGAAAAAATATTTGTTGGTAATGGAGGTTCATCTTGATAAGACTTTTCATCATCCTGAAACATGAAAAAAGCAATATGTTTATTACTTATAACAATAGTTATGACATCCATGTTTTTAATAGCATTTGACACCCGTCCATATTCAATGAATTATATCACAAAACTATTTACAATATTAAGAACTGGAATACAAAATAAAAATAATTTTGATATAAAAATCATTATATTTACTCTTATAAAATTTGCTTAGTTCCAATCTCACTTATTACTGATCTTTTACATAGCACATAAGTATAAATAATTAACTAACTTGTAAATTTGAGGCAATTCTTCGATTAGAAATAGGGGATGGTCCCTTAATACAGACATCAGTTTCAACATTTTTATAAGAACGTTGTGGGGCATTTTTATATTTTCCTTTCTGTTTTCCTCGTCTACTTCTGTTCCCACTGGTTCTACTAGTTTTGTCATTATTTGGACTTAGTTTATTGCCACTAGCAAAACTCTTTAAGCTTTCATCAGAGAAGGATGTTTTATCTAATTCATGGCCACTTTGATCATGATCACTACCATCACCTTTAGAAGTAAGACCTTTACATTTATTATAATGTTCTGCAGGGCATGGAGTTTCGGATTCAGTTTGGTAAACTGGAAATCCATCTTGAAATTTTAATTCACGCCTGTAACAAAATATAAAATCAACCAATGCAATACACACTATTCTACATCTTTATTACAGCTCTACAATCTCCAATTGTTAGTAATAAAAGTGAGACCCATTGAAACTAAATAAAACTATATAATAATAACTAAAATTAATGAATAATAATTAGATGTTTATAAAACAGTTCAACATAAACTTTAATTAATGATATGAGTACATTGCTATGATATAACTACTTAGGTTTCGCTCTTGGAACTTGGTTAAGAATTTAATTCACCTGAAGATACTCCAAGCGGAGAAGTCCTAAGGCTAAAAATGTTGGTGATCACTAATTAAGACTTTATTAAGACTTTAAGAGTTTATGACAAAGACAAATAATTTATTTAATAATACCGTGATAAGGGATCTACTAATAATCTTCTTATATATTATTTCTCAAATATATATCCCTTTTCCGACTCTCAGGAGAGATGGATTTTGATGAATGAGGTATCAATAGAAAATACCACATAGAATGTGCAAATCCTAATTTTAATTCCTAACTTAATACGAAAACTAAAAAAAAAAAAAGGATGTAAAAGTGGGAGGTTTGAAACCATATGATGGTGCCGTCTCAATGAATCAAGATGTTACAAATGAATTCATAATATGTGAATAACTCGAAAAGTACGCAATTTTTGGTACATCATACATATGAGTATTAGAAATCTTATGTAAACATAAACAAAAAATCATCGAAATCGGACGATTTGGTGCACAGCTATAGCGTTCTCAACATTTAGTATTTGTTGTACCGCAAAGATTCTGTTGAATATGGGTATTTGTTCTTTTTCTACAGGGTGCAGTATATAATGTATAGAATAGAATAGTTCATTTTATTTGTCTAAGGAAATTCCTGTAAAAATAAATATAAAGGTCTTGAATCTAGTACTGTGTTCAAACATAACTTAACAACATCCACAGCATTAACTATGTCTATTATAATAACAGATTAGTACAACATATATAATTAGTAAAACATTTTTTTTTCAATAATAAATTCTTTAAAATATTCCAGAGGTATAAAACAAATAATAATATAAATAACGATTAACTAGTTGGCCCGTGCGAATAATTTGCAGACAATTTTGTTAGTGAAGAAATAGAAAAACAATATGGAAATAAGTAGTTCCTATGTATTATGTAAGGAAGGAATTAATATTTTTTCCTTGGTCGATTATAATATTGCATTTAACATAATAGACCAAAATATTTGCACAAATTGCTTTGCCAGGTCCTATTTATACACGCTGAATGGAAAGATAATAACAGTAATAAAGACAAAATGATGCCCAATCATGGGATTTTCTAAATTATTAAAAAAAATAAAATGTAAGAACAAACAAATATCTTTAAGAAATAATAAAGTTAATATATCAGCCAGGAAAAAAAGTGTAGAAGACTATTCTACTCCTAAATACAATATCTTTAAAGAGAAAGACAATATTAAGAATACTAAAATAAATTTTTTTTATTTGTTTTCGGGCGAACCCACACAAATGGAGTTGAGTTTTATATATACTTATTATACATTTATAAGAATATACATACATATGATACAAACCATATATAATATACTGTGATATACAAAATAAAATTAGTGTGATATAACTATAAACAAAACGATCTTTCTTTAGCAAATTAAAATATAATGTTTAGTCCTAATATTATATTTACATATAACCTTAAACTTAATTAACATTAAGAATAGATGAAACTATTTATTCTTGAACAAACAAAAAGAGGTTTCTTAATTTTAAACAACTTTCTACATACCAGTATAAATCATTGAATTTATATTTGTTTTCTATATCTAATAATTGTACTATTTGACCTTTATCGTCACAATTACCATCAATATATTCATTTAAACACTTACCCCTAAAAGCTACATATGTAGGGCAATGCAACAAAAAATGGTATAAATCTTCGGGTTCACGTGTATTACAAATGCGACATTCAGCACTTCTATCTGGAAAACTATTTTGAAAGCCATAAGAAGTAACCTTTAAGTTCTCCGGCTGGCACAGTCTTAAATGGCTAATCATTCTATGCTTTTTTATTGGCTTTTTAAGTTTTAGATAATATTCACCCTTAGTCAAGCTACTTATTGTTCTAAAGTTTTGAGTTCAATATGGATTGAATATTGGAAGGGAAAATTTATTACATTTTAATTTTTCAATAGTTTTTTCAAATTCATCTTCAAATATATCTTTATTTTTAATGTTCAATAATCGAGTCTATTGCTCTTAACATAAGTGTCAATTGTGAGTACCAATTATACTTTGCGTTAATTAAATAGTTAGAAGAATGTTTATTTTTAAATTTGTAAACAAAGTTTTAGTAATCGGTTATCTTCCATTAGGTCTACTTTTCGGTACCAGCAAATCATTCTTATAAGAACGCTTATTTCTAATGATTCTAGACCCATTTCTACAAGCACATAATGATTAAGGATAATATGTGGCCAATGATATATTGCTTTAAAATAACTCAAAGCAACGCGCTCTATTTTGTGATAATATAATGGAGCCCAAACTTTCGCTGAGTACGAAAGAACAGAATTCACCATGGAATTTAACAATTTAAATTTGGTAACAAGAGAATCTGATCTTGACCTCAACAAGATTTCCCGAACTCTATATGAAACCAACTGTGATTTTTTGAAAAAAGTTGTTTGCTGCCTGAGAAAATAAACTCGATGATGAAAAAACCACCCCTAAATAATAACACTGTTTAATTATACCAATTTTAAATATGTTACAGAAGAGATGTTTAACTTTAATTATATTACCACCTTTTTTGAAAATCATACATTTTGTCTTTTCAACATTGACAATTAACGAATTTAATTGACAAAACTTGTGGAGGAAAACTAATTTCTTATTTTTTTCCGACCCAACCATTATCAAGTAAAACTAAATCATCCGCATATATTAGTCAGGATATTTCTGTTGTACGGTCAATATTTATTCCAATAAATCCATCATTTTTAAAATGAAACATTATATCTGAAATGAATAATGAGAATATTAGAAGACTAAGGGAGTCCCCCTGTAATATTCCTTGACTGATTATAACTGGTTCTATATTAAGTTCATCATTTAAAATTTTTATTATTTTAGAACTCGATCCGAGACTATGAAGATTTTGCCACAATTTTGTATAATCCAATGAATCAAATGCTTGCTTAAAGTCAACAAATATTGTAAATACCTTGTTGCCTTTGTAGCCCATTGAAATATTTATTACAGAATTTAAAGTAAAATATGAGAAGGAGTTAATTGGGGGATGCGGTCAAATAAATACTAAATTAAAATATAGTAATTATTTAATTTTAATTTAGTATTTATTTGACCGCACATCATTAACAACCATCTCTACATCATTAAAGTAAAATACTATCAATAAAGCCTCTACCTGCCCTAAAACCATTTTATTCTTCTGGAATCAAGTTATGATTTTCTGCCCATTGAGTAATTCTATCAGCTAGAATAGTTGTAAACAGTTTATTAGTGCTATTCCTCTGTAATTAGTGAGGTTTTTAGCATCGCTTTTTTTATATAAATTGAGTAGGAAAACTTCACCCCATTTTTCCGCAATAATCGTATTTTGAAATACGTTGTTAAAAAGGTTAAGGAGGTAGTGGTCCTAATTCGGAGACATAAGTTAATAAACTTCATACGGCAACTGATCGGTGCCAGATGCTTTTTTCAATTTGTTTTTTCTAATTGCTTTCTCAGTTCGTCCAAATTTATAGGATTATCTAATTCTAAAACAGATTTGGTGAATATAAAATCAGAGATAGAGTCCTTTCCAGCGTAAAATTCTTTATAAAATGAGATAAATTGATCAGTAGAAACAGAAACTTCAACTGTATTCGGCCTATTAAAATGTTTTACAGTTTGCCAAAACAATTTAATGTTGCACTTTGTTTGTATTGTTTTTTACTATCTATAAAAACATTTACCTTTTCCTGCGAATAACCTTCACGCTTTAATGTTTTAAAACATTTCCTAAGAAGTTTTTTTGCTTCCTGGCACTCCTCACCAAACTAGATTTTATCATTCAAAGATTCACGGGGATAAACAAATTTTCGCTTGATAAGACCAAATCTGGTGCATGGTTCAAAAAACAGTCAATCATATTTTTATACAAAGCATTCACTGAACTAGAATTAAAGTAAATGTTATTTTCGTTTGAAACCAATACCTGGTAGGAATTTATATTTTTTTCATCTAAATCTAAATAGTACTTTTCTTTTTTCTTCACCTCAATTTTCGCTGTTTCTTTATTTAACTTATTTAAATAAACAATCACGGGCAAATGACAACTTAGCTCTAAAACTTCCCATACTTTTAAATCTTGAATGAAATCGATCATAGTCGGCGATATCCAAACAGTATCTACAACACTACACCATCTTTAATATCCGTAAACTGATCAGGTATATCGCTAGGAGTCCTACCATTTCATAATATTAAACCATATTCTTCAAAATAATTAATTTATTATCTCTAGCATTATGAACACTATCTAAACTAGTTCTGTGACTGGACAGATAAGAACCTTCCACAAGTAAATCATCAATTAGATCCCATGAACCTAATCTTGCATTCTAATCTCCACCCAGTGCTATATTATACTGATTAATTTCATGTTTTGATTTAATTCTATTAAATAGTTCTTACAAATCTAGAATGCAATCATTTACACTAACAAAGGGCTCCAATAAACATTTCCAATGAAAATAGAATTTACTTTAACTTTGATAAACAAACATGTATCAGAAAAATAAATCAAATAACGTCACTTCCTCACAAAAATGTTTGTTTACTAAAGTTATGAGACCACCTCTAGTTAATTTACCAAAATTAATGGACTGTATCTTTGTTAATAGTAGTGCAATTTTTACGATGTGTTTTTTATTTTGTAGTTATCTTTCTAATTATCATGGGTACAATCTTACATCTTATGTCAAACTTGAAGAAATTTATTTTATTTTTCGATCGCAATGAAAATTCGTAATCGAGGATCTTTCGGTCAATACAAATTGTTTAAATTATTCATATTTCTGATAGATTTTTAAGATTTTTGTTTTTGTTTTGTAGGTAATGCAGTAATCTTTCGAATTATCATGGGTGAAATCAAGAAAAAAATGCATACTTTTTGAGTTATTGGGGAATAAAGTTTCTTTTCCTTCATAACTTCATTCTTCGCATGTGAAGGAGAAGAATATATTCAAAATGAGAGGTCAATCATTGGATTTGATGATGAATTGACGAAGTTATGGCGTACCGACAAAAAAACACCCTTTGGAAATAATATATTGGATAGAAGAGGTGTGTTGAGATAGTCGTCATGGCAACGACTTCACTTTTCATTATGATATTTTTGCTTGCCGTTAACTATAATATTCATAAATCCTGAGGATTTTATCCTAATTCAATGTTTCTACAACTGTTGGAAAGCTGAATTATCGCTCTTCAAGACCGTATAAACAACTTTTTGATTTAACACGTCTATAGTGAGTAAATAAATAAAATTAAATAACAGGTTTTTATTTTATAACTTGATTTCTAAATTATTTAGCAAGGTACAGTTTGTGTTATTTCATGTAGTTTATAAGACCCTATATCCCTGAAAAATTTCGTGTGAATAGGTGGAAGCATATTGAAGTAATAACACTTTTTGTGGTTTTAAAAAAAAAATCAAAGGGTGGTTGGTGTCTTATGTCAAACTTGTAGAAAATTTTTTTTATTTTTCAATCGCAATGAAAATTCGTATTCGAGGGTCTTTTGAGCTGCGAAATACAAATCTCAACTCTGTTTCTATTTAAAAAAATATTTCAACACACTTTACTCCTTCCGTCAATACAAATTGTTTAAATTATCCATATTTCTAATAGATTTTTAAGAATTTTTTTTTGTTCTGTATGTAATACAGTTATCTTTCTAATTATCATGAGTACAATCAAGAAAAAAATTCATACTTTTTGAATTATTGGCCAATAAAGTTTCTTTTCCTTCATAACTTTTTTCCCAGAAATTTCGGGGTGATAGGGTTATTTTTCACATGTGAAGGAGAAGAATATCTTCAAAATGAGTGGTCAATCATTGAATTTGATAATGAATTGACAAAGTTATGGCCCACCCACAAAAAAATACCTTTTAGAAATAATATATAGGATATATGCTTATATGATTAACTATAGCACTTAACAGTTCAATGAACAGCCTTGTTTGAAATAATGCAGTTGATTTAATTTTTTTTATAGTGTCTATTTTCAGTATCTGCTCTACACTAGTATCTTCCCTGGATTCAGTAATAAGTACTTATTTCTTGGTTCGTCAAATCTAATGCATTGAATAAAAAAATGAGTCACCGGGTCAGTTACAAGGCTGTTTTCCAATGGATGAGTCTAGAGCTCTAAGCCTATTAAAGCATTGTCTAGGTAGTACAATTGTCGATCACTATTTTTAACACTTCAACGCTTAATGGAGATCTCCCATTTTCAAGGGGAGCCACATAGTTCAGTGCATTTCTTGGCCAATGGAGCAATGACTTGATAAATCGAACTTGCGCCCTCTCCAACTCCAAAACCTCTAGGTATCTTGAGCCCCATATCTCTGCAGCATAGAGCAGTGTTGAGGAGACTATCGAATCAAAGAGGATGGATTTTGTCTCCCAAGGTCGCTTTTTTACATTTGTTAGGATTGCCATCAATTGGTAGATACAACAGATGATCTTTGTAAGAAATGCTCTGCAGCTCTCTCAAATTTTCCAGAAGAAAAGGGTACACCCAGATATGTATAGTTTCTGGCATACTCCAAACTTGTTTCTTGCCAAGCTAAAGTCTTAAGTTTTTTCATCTTTGGATATCTGTGGAACACCATCATCTTAGACTTAGCTTGATTTAGGATTAAAGATTTGTTTTTACAGTACTTGCTCAGTAAATTGGTGTTTCTTTGTGATCCATGCCATGAATTACTGAGGAGGACAATATCATCCGCTAACAGAAGCATAACTATTTTATGGTTGTGGTCTATACTAATACCAACAGCTCTTTGGTCACGGAAGTACTCAACTATATCTGACGTAAACAGGATAAACAATGCAGGACTAAGACTCTTCCCCTGAGGCAGGCCCAGGCTGATACCAATCTCTTCTGAGAGCTCATGTTTTAACTTTATCCGTATCGATGAAGTGGAGTTTCTTGTGAAGTCTAACTTGTTTTTCCCCCATTCCAAGAGAAAAAAAGCCTTTCCCACAGCAAGTTTTGGTTGATAGTGTCGAAGGCCTTCCTCAGGTCCACAAACACTGTGTAAACATAGCTGCCCTTTGACCTCAAATTAATGTTGACAACTGACGTCAATGTGAATATGTGATGGATGCATCCCCTGCCCATTCTAGAACCAGCCTGTTCCTCCAGTATTAAACTTTCTAATTATGCCCATTTCATTATTCTGTTCCTTAGAATGCTAGTGAACAACGTTGCTAGAGTATTAAGCAAGGACATGCCTCTGGAGTTGTTCGGATTCTTTTTATCATCTTTCTTATATAGAAGATGCAAGTTAGCTTTTGCCCACATTCCTGGAATTTGTTCGGAATTTAATACATTATTAAATAAATTCAATATGTAGTGCATCCAAGAGGGATGGAGACATTTAACAACTTCATAACTTATATTATCAGGTCCTGGAGATTTAAGTTTTTTACTGGCACTTATGCTGTGTAGCAGTTCTTCTAATGATATATTGATATCAAGGAGTGGATGAGTTACAGAGAAAAAGTATGTTTCATGTAGAGTTTTTTGGCCATATAGATTCGTGTGATACCGAAACTAATCAGTCAGACTAATTTCGTTATTTAGATTGTGAAATAGTCCTAATGCTTAAATTTACATTTTAAAAAGAAATACATACATCTATAAAATGACCAGATAGAGCACTTACGGAACACAGATTTTGTTGTGGACATTCCAATCCATTTTCCGACAATAATTTGTACAATACCAGCATTTGCATCTTGAACATATATAAATTGCTGGCCTTGAACAGTATGAACAACTGCCAGGTTTCATAGGTAGACTAAGTTTTGTTTCTGAAGATATAAAAGCATCTTTCTGAAATACATTCAATTAAAAAGCATGAAATAATGAAGATGAGTTAAGAATTACAAAATATTTAATAATTAATAAAAGGCATAGCAAACACGAAGTTTCAATGTCGATACAACCAATAGCTGTCTACATATTCCCATTCACTGACTACCGCCCAAAATCAACCTCAACAAGATAACACACAAATAATCTTCACACCGTCAGTTTACCTTTCAGATGGTACAGCACTAATTAACCTTTTAGATCCGTCTTATACAAAGTATTACAATTTTAAATGAACATTTTATTTGCCATAAAACTTTACATGTACAAATGTATTCGCCATTATATCCATATGATCCAAATCATCACTTGATATTCTGTTTTATCCATATTTTTGAGCACCTTCTTTACTAGCTTTTATCAAAATTATTGTATTCAGTTTTCTAGTATCCAGTTCTTCCCCTAACAGTAGCAAATCATCAGAATACCCAAGTACAGATCTATATTTTTTTACACTCTAGGATAAGTAAAAATTTGAAATATGTGATAAATATTTTACAAAAAAAAACAGGTGATAGCAGAGAAAGTATTTAAACAACCGAAACAAAAATACACAATCTTAAGCAAAGAGTATTGAAAATTAATTGAAACTGGTAGTGAGATGAGAATATAGCACAACGTTACCTTTTGTTTTTGTTAATCCCTACCTTGTTATTTCTGGCATACATTGGAGGGGAAAAAGGGAGAGAGATTGTTCCAAAAATACAATCCTTTAGGTTTGACCTTAAATAACCATACTGGAAAGATTGAGATTCATTCCGTGCATAGGAAAATGTTATCTAACAACTTTAAGACCTTTTGAATTTAAGGCTTGGGAAGTTATGAAGAGGATTTACATTGAGAATGTAGTTGGGAGAGAAAACCATGGAAATGCAGCAATAAAAGTTTGTAGTAAAGAAAAGTTAGAAGAAATTTTAAACTTGTTCAATCTAAAATATTTAAATATTCTTATGAATAAAAATAAAATATAACATGTAAATATGTGATAGAATAAAATATGAATATTGAAGTCCTTGACATAGCCAACCTATACACTTAAAGTTTTTGGAGTTTATGCACCCCCTAACTCAGCCTCCATTGGCATAAATGTCATGAAACAATTGAGAATAGGCCACTGGTATTTATAGCTAAGCTTTTCCACAAGGATGGGAGAAGATTGGTTTGGGAGTCCCTACGTGTTGTCTGAATATTTGCAAGAGTGAATAACAGATTTCTTATATTTTTATAAATTTAGAGAAATTCTCTCACCACAATATAATTCAATTTGTGATCAAGAAGAGAGTTTGTAAGAAGTATTTTTTACAAGAACATTTTAAAAAATGAAATGAAAATAAATAGATTCTTTGTATCTGCTTTTTAAAGAACAAAAGAATAACATGAGTATAACAGTTCAAATTTAATCATGAATTTTACACAAACAAACCCTATACTTTCATCTAGTACAACTACATATAAAATTTCCATAAACAAAATCTCACATCACCATATTTAAATGGATTAGAACAAATATAACTTACATCAAACAGAAAATTTTTGGTTTTATTTCCCAAATAAGCAGCTACCCTCTGTTCCATATCTTGAAGCTCTTCACAGCTAACTTCACTGAAACAAATAAAAATGTATCTCATTCATCCAAATCTGATTAAGACAAGTATATATTTCTAATATATATATACCCCTCAGGGATTGGAGTAGCCGCACGGGCTAAGGTGCTTGCAATGGATAATCAAAGTTAAGCAACGTCCAGTGTGGTTAGTACTTGGATGGGTGACTGCCGATTTGGGTGACTGTCGGGCCCGAGTCCCTCCTTCCCCCCGGTATGTGTGGCCCGTCAGCCTACTGGAGGCAACTCACACCGACCGGGCGTAGAACTGGTGACCTTACCCAGTGTGCTTAAATTGGGAATCAGGATGTGGTTTACCAGAATGTTAATAGCCCAGAGAAAGAACTATAGGTCCTCGTGTGCATGCTGACTCCGAGCAGCCATAATCCACGGATCTAGATTGATTTGTCACTGTCCTTGAACCCGAGTGAGTCAGTGGGAAGGACACTGCCAGATTGGCCCCAAAAGGGATCGGCTAAGGAGTCTACCCCTGCATCGTGGAGACCATTGTTCATAGCAATGTGAGGTTGAGTGACTCCCTCCAGGCTATCTGAGCTCTCGCAAGCAACATACATCTGTAAGGAGACCGTATCTCGCGGCTAAAGATCTTCAGGGTCTGTAGTGCCAACCGAAAAAAAAAAAAAAAATTTATGTATATAAATATATTTATATATATAATACATATCTCTATTTATTATATCAAAAAAATTTTAGTGACTGTCATATTTTATTTTACAAATAAAAAGGACTGTAAAGAAGAAAACGTAAAGAAGTATTGCCATGATGATACAGGATTCATTCTCTGGCGTTACCCACACACTGTTCTCTCCGTTTATTTGATTTTGATAAAAAGTAATACTATTTGAACTACAGAATACATATAGATTAAAGTTATATAATTTGAGCAACGAGTAGTACAATTAAATTAATAGTTGTAGAGTTTGTAAAATGGGCGTTGGTCCACCATTAGGCCGACAGAGGATACTACCTATTATATATGTGAGTCTGTCCAAGATAATAATTTTAAAAATATTAATTATGTTCACTTACACTGACTGTTTCTTCTTTGAAGCAACATAAGATCCTCTTCCCATTGTTATTTTCCTCTTTCCATCATCATATTCTCCATCTGCAAAGTGCGAGAATACAGAATTTGATACATTCTGTTCGAAAGATATATCACAATGATAAAATCTTCCAGGACAGTAATCTTCTCCTAAATCATCTATATAAGGTTCATTATTTGTAGGTATTGCCCTGAAGGTGCTTGGAGGTAAACCTTTCATAGGTGGCAATTTTCCGCGACCTCGAGAGCTAGGAATAATGTTATGCTCCCTGTAAATAAAATTTATATTATAACATATGAATGGAAGATAAGGTAAGAAGTTCAAATGTATTATACACAAAAATTCTTTCTAAGAATCTGCTTCCTCACCTCTAATTATCATTTATTATAATTGTTTAAGATCTAGTTTATTTTTAGAGAGATACAATCAAACAAATTTCAGTTTCAAGGAAGAGGGGCAACTAGTACAGAATAGGACAGCCTAAAATAATTTTTTTGATGACAGTGAACAATGAATCGGTCTTGGTGGTTGCCCTATATTAAAATTATGCATTTACAAGATTTTTATATAACAGTGTTATAGTTTCTTTACTCTTTGGCAGATGGGATGGAGATAAACTATCCCTATTTCAATGTGATCCATCTGGAGCATACATTTCTAGAAAAGAGGCACAGTGAAACTTTGGAGCTGGATGAAAATCGATAGTAAAGACATGGAGTTTATTCAAGCGGAATTCTTTTGCCATTTTGACTGCATCCTTTGGAAGTATCTACGAGAAATGAGTCTCAACATTTTATAAGTTATTATTGATTACTTTAAGGGAATAACAACCTTAAAAATATCGCTAATTACTGTTGGCATAGTCATTGTATTTAATTGTGTTTCAGCAGCTATGTTGGCTGCATTCTGTTTCCTATATTTAACTGAAACAACGAGCAATAAATAAATATTATTCTACAAAAAATTTACAAGCTCTATTTAACCAGAAATTAATTTCTACTTAAAGTAGTGTGGTAATCGGAAGTTGAGAAAGTACAGATGTTTAAATTTTTAGCAGCACATGATGGTAAACATGTATATAACTTTTTATTACACCACGTTTCCACATGATTTTTAGATTTATTTCACATAAATTTTTAAAAAATCAACTATTAAATGTATGAATCATTATTAAAATGAATGAAAAATCAGTAATTTTATTAATATAATTATTCTCATTCCCTCTTGTCGAAAACTGTGCAATGACAAATATTCTGTTGTTTCGGTGGCCTCCCTAACAAAAAAGGTTAAAACATTAACTTATGGTTTTTCTAATAAAAAATAATTAAAACTCATGAGATTGACAATTTCAATTGTTTCAAACAACATCAAGACAACACAGACCATTTTGCAAAAAAAAGAAATAATAAAAGAAAATAAATAAGTTTTCAAAGTTAGCAATTAAAAATTAAAAAAAGTGCTATCTTTTTATATAATAATATAGATTTATTTTGAAGTTCTCTAGAATTATTCTTAGATAATTGGTGATTGAGATAATATAATTGGTGCCTTCCTTACATGGTAATGTTTATTAACAATCATATCTAATAAACATTTGAAATATTTTCACATTACAGTTCTCCTGTAATATGTATTCACAATAGAGTCTTCCATTATTATGTATTCACAATAGAGCCTATAAATTCCAGATTTATAAAGTGGTTCAAGAGACATTGCTTCATTTTTATTTTTTTAGTATTTTGATTCCGCCATGTTTTTAGAAATAAAAAAAGTATGAGAAATTTCTTTAAATCAATTCGGATGATTTAATTTTATACACCATCACCATGTTGGGTTAAAGTGATAAATTTTTTTTTAAAACATTTTTTATGTATTATATCAAATGTTTTACACTCAATTGTCAGGAACCCTTCCTCCAAACAAATGAACAAATAGATTTTTACAGTGTGTCTGTAAAATTTGATTACATATGTGAAGGTAATAATTACACACATTTTAAAATTTATAAATATTATTTCAGAAAAGTAAGCAGTGTACCTTGGTGACTTATCAATAGACGATTTTTCCTCAATTGAGAGTCTATCCTTATTTACATCAGCTTTATCATCATCATTAGATCTAGCAAAGTGTACAAAAAAATTGTAAGGAGGGCGTTTATGAATGGCAACCATTGCATTAGATGCAGCACTAAAACAGACAAAACATTAATAGCTCAAGTTAACTAGTAAAGACTAGTGCAAAAAACTTAATAACTTAAAAAGTAATTTTAAGTTGACTCACGCTATGCTTTTAAATGTTACAAAACCCCAATAGGTATTTGAATTTGAATGTTGGCTATGTTTCTTATGAATGTAAACATTTTCTGGTGTTTCTCCTTCACAGGAAAATATGTGCATGAGTCCATCCTGAAAAATAAAAAGAATGAAATTGCTAATAGTAAAAGAGTGAAGTGATCTTATACTGTTTTGCAAGTGTAATTCCAAAATCAAGTTATCTTGTGAATAAAAAATGTGCAGATAAGTCATTGGTAAAAGTAAGTGAAATAATTCAATCTAAAAATGAGGTGTATAGTAATATACTTTTGTTTATTGGACTTGATTTTATATTTTAAAATAGAGTAATTCCATCTTAATCATTGCCCAATTCTGGATCCTTTGTTTCGAAATTTTGATACTGTATTCACAACCCCAGTCAAATTAGACATGTTACATTGTATGGTAATGCGAATTTAATTTTTATATTGTTAGGTATGTAGTGAATATAAAAAATCCAAGTTTCCGTCCTTGAAAATTGGGTTGAAATAAGTGTTCACTGCACTACTCCTAAAACCATTGAAATTTGGAACATTTTTTGGTTTACGCTAAATATCTCCTTTTTAGAGTGACTTAGATAAAAAAATGGTTACAATCAATCTTAAACAGCTTAAAATTATCTAAATTTTTTTCTAAACCCAACAGGAAGCGAACAATTGAGCTTTCAAAATTAATCTATTTCGATTTCTTCACAATAGTGCTCTCTCAGTTTTGAATGGAAGAATTCTGTAACTCCATTTAGAACCTCATCTAGAGTATTTGGAGGTTTCCCTCAAAGTCTGGAGGTGTTTTGAAAAGTATGTTACGCCCTGGGCCAGCCCCCCTACCATGCACCCTCCCCCACATCCTAATAAATTGCATACAGTTGTGTTCCTTGTAACTATTTAATAAAAAAAGGGCAATGTCCCCTCTCCCCCAAAAAAGTGGCTGCACTCTTCCAAAATGGCGTCCAAACATTGCAGATTGCGCTGACCTATGTCTTTGACTTGAGTTAGGTTTTCTATCACTGAGATTCAGCATTAGGCTTAATATTGTCATAATTGGCCTTTTATTAAAGATGGTTAGTTAGAGAATAATAAAACATGTAAAAAATAGAAAAAATAATTGGCATCGGCAATAAAAAAACTTAATAAATTCAATTGTTTCTAGTCGTTCAAATTTAAGTTAAAAATCAAGTATCGTTTGTAAATAAACGGTTCACCATAACGAAAAATGTCCCAAAATAAAACATGTGAAGAATACTTCAGATATATTAATAAAAAAAAAATTCTTTCTAAAATACTTATTACTTTTTAAAATATTTGATGCAGTTGCAGAAAATACACTTAATTGGCGAAAAAGCGGCACTTCATAGGCGCTTAGAGTCCTATGTCACATCATTCAGTACTCATAAACGGATAGACGGTGGTACAGACTCCTCTTTATAAAATTATTAACATCCACCTGAAACTTCGTAAATAGCTTCATCTCATTGTAACCTACAATTATTTTATTTACGATATCACTTGGAATTGGGGCGTTTCCGATCTGCAGGTGGACAAACTTGTCTATTTAATAAGGCACTAAAAATTCGTAAATACCCATTTGCTTTCCACATGGATCATAAGATAATTTGATCACAAAATCGAAAAAAGGCGACCTACAAAAATATTGAAGCGTTTGTCCTATATAACCTCGTTATTTTGACAATTCGGAGATCGTAGATCACGTCAAATGGATTAATATTTTTTATGGCCACTTTTGTATCGATTTTGTGCTCAAATTATCTTACGATTCAAGTGGAAAGCAAACGGGTATTTACGAGTTTTTAGTTCCTAATTAAATCGACTAAGGGCCAGTTGCTCCAACTCAGTAAAGCTTAGATAAAGCGTTATCTAAGATTAAAACCATGTTTTCTGTAAGGTCAACCGATCAAGATTAAACTTGGTTTAATCTTAGAAAACGCTTAATCTCAAATAAGCTTTACTGAGTTGGAGCAACTGGCCCTAAGTATGTCGATCTTCATATTGAAAACAGCCCAACTCCGAAGAATTTCGTTAGTAAAATATTAGTTGGTTACTGTGAGAAGCTATTTACGAAGTTTCATGTGGAAGTTAATAATTTGATAAAACGGGTTAAAACATGGCTTAATGGCTCATTATCTTTAAGGAAAATCTCCAAATACTCTAGATGAGGTTCTAAATGGAGTTACATTATATATATATAAATATATAAATATATATATATATATATATATATAATAAATTTTAAAGAGTATTGAATATTTAGTTTTTATTTTTCTTTAGGTTTCTTATATTTAGGCTGTATACACACACACACATATATATATATATATAGCTTAAATATAAGAAACCTGAAGAAAAATTAAATATTTAATACTCTTTAAAATCTATTATTTATCGAAGATTTTGTCTCATTTTTTGAGTATAGAAATCTTGATTTCAATCATTTAGATAATTCTGTATTTTGATTTCGAAATTAATTATACCAATATATTTAATTAACCAATGTTTGCAAATGTTCTCTGAACCAAAATAAAAATGGGGTATATCTTTTATAACATTCATGTTTTAACAAACAACGTAAAAACATTTTGTTGATGTATAATAGGTTTGGTATTTTTGTTTTTAAAAGTCGTACTAAGAATTTTGTTTCTTACAGGGAATTTCCTACTTTTCCCGATTAACTAACTAGTAGACATCCTGCTCCCGTTGTAATATATAATTTTATTTCAGAAACTCAAAGTTAGATAAGATTTTCATGGTATTAATATAATATATTAAACAAAAACAATGAATTGTGTACAATTTTACACCTTTTGAAGTAGAATAAATAGGATTTTTACTGTAAAATGTTGAAGTTCTTAATTTTGCAACCATGACAGCGATTACGACTACAAAGTGTAATCAAGTAATCGCGTTCCTTTTTTTTTATTATAATCGTAATCTTGGGCATTCATTATGGCTATGTACATTTCTGAAGTTTTTTCACAATTAATAATAGCAGACGCTTCTTTGAAACTTTTTAAAAATAACCTATTTAGTTCAAAAGATGTTTCTAAAATCCTGATGAGGAGTTAATACAAAAAAAAAAAAAATAATATAATAAAAATTAACACTAACATTTAATAAATAAAATAAAAATCACTTTAGTTTTTAGTTTTATAGTTCTACTATACCTCTGTAAGTCGGCTGGGAATATTTGTTACATACAGCTTCGTATTTGCACCTTCTTTAGGCCTGTTAAACATTAAAATGAGATAATTAAAACAAATAAACTGTAAAGCTAAATCATAAATAATGGACTGGAGTATTTAAACAAAATATATAATTACAGTGGACTGTCGGTGTAATCTAGGTCGGGAGGAAATGATGCTGATTCGTTTTAATGTTAATAAAAAAGATCAGTTATTTTTAGGTACTTATGTGATTTGCATTGGCCTTCAGCCCGAAAGTTCCGTCTGTGTTTCCCTTTAAAGATTTTGTCATACATGTCCGCACCACATCCGAGCCGCATCCCTGTCATAAGTAATCTCGTTCTCGACAAAACCGAACGCCCGTAGCTACTAGTAACCCACAAGTCTCTAAATAGTGCAGTAAAATTAGGCATTGACCCCAAAATTAAAGACGAAACTTGTCAGAAATTGTTAATTAACCTCCCCATAAAAACTGGTAAAAATCACCAAAGAATCCCGCGTCGGGTTTTGATGGGAGAAGGGAGAGAAGGACAGAAGATTGAACTTTTTTACTTTCACTTACGTATATATGTAATACGTACATACTTTATAGTAAGGGTAAGTATTGTGATCGTGAAAATTTTCGAATCACAGTTTTCAACAGAAATACATGAGGTCCCAATAACCAAGTGTCGCAAAATGGTGTGTCTGTCTGTGTTAACAGTCTAGCTCATAAACGAAAAGTAGTACGAAACTGATATTAAGTATTTAAGGATGTGACAGTAACTTTTTCGTTAAAATCGTCTAACCGGAAGTGCCATTTTATATGAACGCTGAAACACATTTTTACAATTTTCTCAAAAACGGCTCGAAACGATTTTGATTAAACTTGGTGTATCATCTTATAATTAAGTGGTCTTTAATATCATTTAGGTCTAATCCCCATTGATGACACTTTACAGGGCTTAAATGCCCATTGTTCATATATGTCTGCCTATGCCTATATGCATATATGTCTGTTATTTAAAAAAAAAAAAAAATGTCTCTCATAATTATATGTTATGAAAAAATGCTAAATATAACTTTTCAAAGATTTTGATGAATTAATAAAGGAGAAAAAATAAAAATGCTTATCCAGGTCGAAAACTAACCTCCGGAAATACCAGTCAGAAGTTATACATATAATAAATCGTTGGAAAGCGGAGAATTTTAGGAAAAACAATATCTAATATAGAAAGTTGTAGAAGGTAACGGAGAGTGGCAAAAAATTTATAAATAATAATTTTTGAAAACTTATAATATTTAACGTGAATCACATGTTTCCATGAAATTAAATGAGATTCACTGACTAAATGTAAACTTTTAAAATTATGCCATTGTTTAAAAAACTATTTCATTGTATTTGTATGAAAGAAGAAGTTAAGTATCAAATCATTTCATATGTTTATAACCTTAAATACATTTACTGTAGTTTAATAATTCTAGATCTAATATTATATTTAAATAATTAGGTATTAATGTCCGTTTATTCCAAAAAATCATCATGTAACTTTAAAAAAAAAATAAATTAGTGAATTATTCTTTTGTGATATTCCAACAGTATTCACTACTATTTCATTGTACTTGTTTGAAAGAAGAAGTGAAATATAAAAATATTTCATAGATACATCTATAAACCTTAAATATATTTACTGCAATTTAATAACTCTAGCTATGATATTATATTTAAATATTTAGGTATCTATCATCCGTTTATTCCAACAAATCATCATGTAACCTTTTAGAAAATTAAATTAGTGTATGGTTTGATGAAATTTCCTTTTGTGATATTCCAACAGTATCTACTTACAATTAGTGTGACAACTTTTGACCTGACTATGACAGACAATGTTAATGTCTTAATTCCGTTTTAGTAAACTTTGCAATGGAAAATAACAGTTTAATAAGTAATAGTCGTACAATCCATAATCAACGGATCGTTCAATCCATAATCAACGGACCGTATAATCCATAATCAACCGATGATATAATAAATAAAACTTTTTTTATTTCAGTGGTGTTTATCATTTGTTAGCTGTAATTTTTTAGCGTTAACTCATCTAAAAATTTTATGATAGCCTAACATGCCCAGAAAATAATTTCTATTCAAAGTTGAGTGGTAAGCGAAAGTTGCGTGTTGCGCGCAGTAGATTTTTTAATAAACCAATGGTCACGTAGATATTTATGAGATTATATTTATTGTTTAGGCCAAAATTGCATCATACCACAAAATTGATGTTGTTCATAGTAGAAGATACCTTGAAGTTTAATTAGTTTTTTTAACATATTCGATCGTTCAAATTATTATTCAAATTTTATTCCTCTAAATGATTCTAAAAAGTCATTGATAAACAGAATTATATTCGATATAAATCAATGAATTATTTCGTCCTATTGATATAAAGTTTGGATTGACATTAATTTCATATAATTGAAACAATGTGATAGAAGACATTAAAACTTACAAAAAGTAACCATAAACTTTTTTTATGAAAAGCCTTGATTTTATGAAAACACGAACTTACCTTAGTTTAACTGCTTAAAAGTATATGTAAATGGTTTTAAAATAGAGAAGATTTAATTTTGTTTAATGTCAATTTAATCTAGTTTACTATGAAGTAATTGGGTGGAACCTGAATTAAAAATTTGTTTAGTTGTTGCTTTTTATTCTATTTCAAATTGTGGTTGACTTAAACATTACAAAATTTAAGTGTCCTGGATTTCTTTATGTAATCAGATTATAGTTGCTGGTAACTTTTTGTAAGTTTAAATGTCTTCTAGTACATATTAAATGAAATTAAAGTCAATCTTTTTTTTTTCTCTTTTTTTTTATTGATGATATTTACAACTGTATTACAAGTAAAAATACATTCAGTAAATGTGAACAAAATAATATAATAGCATGAAATCACTTGTTGAGAAACTACCCACTGGTAGCACTCTAAAAATATATTTACAAAAGGAGATCTCGAGGCCATCTTCTTTTCAGACGCCTCGGAGGGTTGTCAGGGATCGAAAAGGAAGCAAGGTTAGAAACCAGAGGGTTAGGATGGTTCTGAAGTTTGTTATGGAAGGATAGATATCTGGATTGGGTCAGGTCAGAAACATAAGGAACATTAAGGTCGTTATGGATGATTTTGTTTGTGATAAAGTAAGGAGCTGTGAAAGTTTTACGAAGGATTTTGGATTATAAGGATTGGATACGAGAGGAATTCGATGGCTTAGTGGAGTCCCAGAGCTCAATTCCGTAAGTCCAAATAGGTCTTATTGTAGTCATGTATATGAGTCTTTTGTAATTGACTGGGAGCTTAGAGCGTTTGTCTAGTAAGTGCTGGAGTGGTCGGAAACGTCGAGCTGTTTCTTGTCGTTTCAGTCTGGCATGAGGATTCCCAAGTTAGACGTTTATCTAAGTGGAGTCCAAGGTATCGAATTTGTTCAACAGGGATAAGTGGGATATTATTAAAGGATACTGTAGGACAAGAGGACATAGGTTTACGACGAAGGGTAAAGGTGATTTGATGGGATTTATTGGAATTTATTTTGATCCTCCAGTTTTGAAACCATTCTTCAAGGTTTGTGATGTGTGATTGAAGGGTTTGGGATGCAATTGTTGGGTCGTTATTAACTGATAGGACACATGTATCATCAGCATACGTGGTAATGACAGTGTTAGGATGGGTTGGGGTATCAGCTGTATAAACTGTGTAAAGGATAGGACCTAGGATACTACCTTGAGGAACACCAGCAGACTGGGAAAAAAGGGATGAATAGGAATTATTATGATTTACTTTGAAGGATCTATCAGTAAGATAGGAACGGATAACGAGGAAGTATGTAGGGTGTAGGAATTTACGGAGTTTGTAAAGGAGTCCTGGGTCTCCTTCAAAAGCCTGTTCTACATCGAGAAAGATTCCCGTGCAGTACATTCCGCGCTCCAATGCAGAGGAGACAACATCCACCACACGATGGCATTGCTGGATAGTGGAATGGGATCTGCGGAATCCAAATTGATGATCTGGGATAATGTGATTAGAATCTAGGATCGGGTGGAGGCGTTTTAGGATGAGCTTTTCCAGGATTTTGCCATCTGCGGAATCCAAATTGATGATCTGGGATAATGTGATTAGAATCTAGAATGGGGTGCAGGCGTTTTAGGATGAGCTTTTCCAGGATTTTGCCTAGGATGGGTAAAAGGGAGATAGGGCGGGTTTCCTGGTGGCTTTTTGGGTTTATGAACCATTTTGATGATAGATAATTTCCAAGGGTCAGGAAAGTATGTGGATCACAGAACAGTATTATATATATACGTAAGGAATAGGGTGGCTTTCCGAGGAAGCAGTTTTAGGATCTGGGATGTAATTAGGTCTTGTCCAGGAGCTTTTCGGGAAGGTAACCTTTGAATGATGTCGGATTTTTCTGAAGGATGGAAGGCTTTAGATGGTAGAGACATTTGGAGTGGGATATCCAGTTCTGCTTCAATACAATCAAGGTGATTTGGGTTAAGAATATCGGGGTGTGGATCAAAGGTTTTAAAGAGGTGATGAGCAAAGATTTGTGATTTTTCTATATCGGATTTGGACCAGGTTTGAGCTTCAGTAAGAAGTGGATGATTACAGTCTTTAAATTTCAGAAGCCTTTTAGTGGTCGTCCATAGTGATTTGTCGGTAGGTGTAAGTTTTTCAGTAAAATTTAGTAAATTTTGAATTTTGTATTTTCTAATTTCAGATTTTAGTTTGTTAGTCAGTTGGGTATAATGAGTTTTATCTGTTGGATATCTGGTTCTATGCCACTTCGATCTTGCTTTGCGTTTTTCCTTCAATAAGACACGAATATGATGTGGCAAGTCAGTCTTTTGTGAATTGTTAAACTTATTGATAAAAGTGTTATTATTTATACTGTCTGTTATTGATGCTGTCAGTTTTTCAATGACACCATTAATGTCCTCTTTTGTCTTTAGCGGAATTTTTAAGTCTAGTTTGTTTTCCAAATCATCACGAAATTTGTCCCAGTTCACTCGTCCTGTAA